TATAAGGAATGGCATGCAGTCTAGGGACCTTTTCAAGATTTCTTGGTATATCAATAGGAGAAGAGGCTAGGAAAAAATTCCATTAAAAGTCTGCCTCGATGATTATTTTAGTTGAGGTTCTATTGCTATGAAGAGACACCATGACCATGGCAACTTTTATAAAGGAAAATATTTAATTGGGGCTGGCTTACAGTTCAGAGGTTTAGTTCATTATCATCATGGCAGGAAGCATGGTGGCAGGCAGGCAGACATGGTGCTAGAGAAGGAGCTGGGAGTTCTACATCAGGATCCTCAAGTAGTGAGAAGAGAATACCATACTGGGCGTGGCTTGAGCATCTGAGACCTCAAATCCTGCCTCCAGTGACACACTTCCTCCAACAAGCCACACCTTCTAATATTGTCACTCCCTATGAGTGATCATTCAAAGACATGAGTCTGTGGGGGCCATTCATATTCAAATCATGACAGTAATGTATGTTAACTTGCAGGGGCCCCCGAGAATAGAATGAAGGCATAAAGGAAGGAAAAAGGAGTGTGGATTCTATAGATAACTTAAAGAAATAGGGAGTGGTTTCAGTCTAAAAGTATAAGGAGAAAGGCAAGAGAAAGGGTGTTTAATTCAAGGAAAAAACTGTCTAATGAACCAACATTTGAGTGAGAACAGGAAAGAATGTGACTCTAGGGAGTCAGAGTACAGATGGACTTCCTCTAAAGGAAGAAAAGGAAGATAAAGTGGGTAGGAAATGAAGGTTTGAAATGAAGAACAAGAATGAAGATGAGTGCTACTAAATATTGGGAAACATGCATGGTCAAGAATGGAGGTTGTTTTTAGGATAGATTATTATAACATCTTTCAATCTTTCTGGTGAAATGTTGTATAAATAATGTAATGGGACTTTCTGATTCAAGCAGGATATTCTAGTATCTAGCTATAATTTGTAATTGAAGAGTTGAGTGACTGAAAGTAGTTATCCAGATGATATTGACTATGGTTGTTCTCATGTAACAGGAACACCAACAGAGAAATGAGAGCTAAAAACAGCTTTCTAAGTATTGTCAAGTTGGTGTGTTTCTTACCATACTCAAATGGTGGCTCGTTTTTTAACTTGGTTCAGAGAAAGATGCATTCCAAATATGTACTAGACATTCTCATGGCTAAACATTATAATTACTGCCTTCTTTTGGTCATGAGGCATTTTATGTAGGTTATAAAAGAACGCAGACAGTTGTAAAACTAACATTGGTTATCCCATAAAATATAAATAGCATAAGCTTTAAGAAATGCCTGTGGACAAAATATACATATATTGTTTCTTATAAGAATCTCATCTAAAATAAAATCTGGGAGAAAATCATAATTAATAGACATGTTTAATGGTCAGGTGTCAGAGCAGTCCAAACTAGATACAATGTTGTAACTTGGAGTAGATGTCAGTACAGAGATATCAAATGTGACAAATGATATGTTTCAGGTGTAAATATCAGTAGTATAATCTTTAGTAAAAACACTTTTTATATCAGATTGCAGCATCTTTGTGTGAAGAGCCACTTAAGATACTATGAAAACTGGTAGAAGTGTATTTACTCAACACAAATAGACCCGTCCTATTAGCTTTAATGATTATTAAAAAATTCAGCTTTTGTTTTTATTTTCTCAGTTGTTTATTTCATAGTTCATTGATTTTTGTTCTAACTTTTGGTTTTCATCTTTCTTTGGATTTAACTTGCATGCAATACTTGGTGTACCTAAAATACCCACTTTGGTGGTTCTAGTCTATGGCATATGAATATTTATGGTAAATAAACATGGTATAGACCTTGAGCCCCTTGATATGTTTTACATAGGATTGAGGTCAGACATGTGACCTTCAATTATATGGCTATAGAGCAATGAAATACACTTATTTCAAATTTCTAGGTTTATGTCAAGAATTCATTGATATTTATTATAGAGCTTTGTGTCTAACATAGTTAAATAAATATGCCATAGATGGATTCATTTTATGTATACATTTTCCATATGCTTGCCTTTTCCAGTGCATGTACACATACATACACAAACCATGAAATGAATTTGTTTTTTAAAGAGAAATAGGGATAAAATAAACCAGAATCCCTACATAAGATTAGCTACTAAATCATATTGCTTTTAAGAGATAAAAATACAGTAATTGATTACTAAATCTAAGAGTGCTACACATTTTTTGTTGCAAATGTCTATGTTCCATTATTTTGATTCATATATATTAGCACATAATGATTGAGATTGCCATGGGTTGTAAGGCAGCTATGACACTATAATCATGGTCTGTCACAGAAGGAACCAGGTAATACTCCATTTCTTAAGCACTGCTGCCTTAAAATAGAAAACAGACAAACAAAATCTAAACGTACAGGTACATAGTAGTTACAAGTGATTTGATGATAAAGAAAGTCTGAGAAGACTGACTTTCAAAGATCTTAGTACTGCGCTTAAGTTGTATTCCAGCCGAGTGGGAATATGGACTGTGATTTACTCGTGAATTTAGGAAAATTGTCTTTCAAATGTATTCCTTTACTTAGTCTATAAAGACACATAAATATTTAATTTGAGAAAGATAGTGAATGTCAGTGTAAGATTTGATAGAAGAGCAATGTGGAAAGGATTTAATGAGTTGTAATTTCCCTAACATTTCCTAAATATATTTGAATTTGTACAAGTAAACCCAGCTCTGAATATGCCTTTTCAATCAACTGAAGTTAATGTCTTGAACATGATAACAAAATAATCAAGATAATGAGCTCAAATGGAGGCCAGGCGTATTTGACTCGCAGTTTTGGTGGCGTGTCTCATTTCTATTGGACTTGTAGTAGGACAGATAGCACATCATGGGGGGGAGTGCATGGTGCAACAAGCTGCACACTGTGGCAGCAATAAAGGGAATGCAAGGAGGAAACCGCAGCTCCATCGCCACCCTCAAGTGCACACCCTTCTAAGACAAAGCTAGGCTTCGTCTCTTAAAAGTTCATCACCTTCCTGAAGTCAGGGACTTTATCCATGGACGTCTGTGTACATTCTAGATCCATAAAGACACAATAACTTTCAAAGAAAGATTTGTGTCAAGTATAATGCATTTGTTGATAAAATAAATCAAGTTCATCCTTTAATAATATGGTTGTTATTTAGTGAGTTAGCACGTATAACTATTTATAGTTAGGTAATTGACTAGTACTTACCATTTCTAAAGGGGGGGTCACACTGTGCCAACCTACACAGGATTGTTTTGAAAGAGGTGTCTATAGAAAAACAGATGGTATGACACTATTTGCTCATAGCCAAAATTAAAAAAAAAAAAAAGGATCATGTAGAAGTAGTGTACTAGGGTTACCATAACAAAAATGCTACAGACTAGGAGGTTGGTGTTTTTGTTAGTTTAAGGAAGAAACAAAGGAGAGAGAAAAAGAAAGTGGTATTGTTGCAAGTCTAAGATCAAGGCTTAGTTTCTTTGGCTTACATTTGGTTATCTTTCCCTGGGTTTTTATATGGTCTTTCCTTAGTTCTTGTATTTCCTTATGTGTTCAAATTCCCTCTTTTTATAGACACTTAGTAGCAAGTTAAAGCCACTTTAATGCTGTTACCTCCTTGAAAGCTGCATTTAAGTACAGTCTTATTTCTTTGAGACAGGGTCTCTTTGTGGAACCCAGAATGGCCGGGAGCCTGCTCTGTAGCCGCAGGCTGGCCTCAGACTCACAGTTTCCCTACCTCTGTCTCCTATGCTGGATTATAGGCATGCGCCACTGAATCTGGTTCAGATTTTTCTTTTTGTGTTTGCTTTCGTTTGCTTGACGTCAGACCCCATTTTCCAATTTAAAAAAAAAAAACAGAATCTGTCTAGAGAATAAACATTTTAATATAGATTTGGTAACAGTGAGAATGAGGACAACACACTTCTCTCAACCCAATTGTGTGTCTCTTTTTTAAGATGTTAGCAGAACATGCTAATTTCTTCACCCTGCCTCCCATTTTCCTGGTCCTGTAAGAATTACACTCTGTTCTGATGAGATCACCAGCTCTGGGACTGAGCATCATCTTGTTTTCAAAGGCAACCCCATGTGTCTCTCTTGCCCTTTTGGGTCAGCTCTGACAAGTAAGAACCCTGTCACTGTGCTGGGCACTAACAGCCAGTACAGGATAACATGGATCAGGCTTCCTTCAGACCCTGCTCCTGCTTTGGGACCCACTTAAACTCAGTCTAGCTCTGTCACTGCTAGCATAGTTACTTCAGACTGCCTTCAGGACACATAGCTTGTGAGGAGGGAGTGAAAGCTGTGGATGCAGTTTCTCACAAACTTCAGAGACTGCTAAGAATTCTGATTCTGAGGCAAAGGTAGGCATCAATGCCTATTCCAAAAAAGAATTTTTTACAAATTATAAAGGTGGAGTGTGATCTGTGCTTTACACAACGGCTATGTTGACTTTTGCTTTTCTTTGTTGATAAGTTGGTTTTTTTGGTTTTGAAAGAGGGTCTCACTGTATACCCCAACTGGGCTTGGATTTGTGATCCTCCTGCCTCAGCCTTCTGAGTGCTGATATTATAGGAGTGCACCACCACTTCCAGCTAAGGTATATTTTTTAATATTAATCGATTGAGCTGAGTACCAGGAAAGAAGGAAAGGATAGTTCTTGCTGTCCTGGGAAGAACTACCATCTTGCCTTGTGGTCAATATCCTTAAGATGGCCCATCTATATCTGCTCTACACCAGCAAATAATGTACAAACTGCACAGTGTTCTCCTCAGTGTGGTTTATGACTTCCCCACTGTTCTGTTTCACATAATCAATTTTAATGAATAACCAAGATCTTATTACTCTGTCTTTAGACCTTTGACAGAGAAAGCCAAGCACCTTGTCTACCTCGCACTGTGACCTCGGCCTTCATTTCATTGTTTGCTCTCTAGCTATATACTAAACGTAAGTTTTCCTGAGTTGAAATATATTGACAGTACTCTTTTTTCTTGTAGCTTGTACCTCCTTTTAAGCCTCAAGTAACATCTGAGACAGATACCAGATATTTTGATGAAGAATTTACAGCTCAAACTATTACAATAACACCACCTGAAAAATGTAAGTAAATATATTAGGCAGTTGATAACTTTCTAAAATAATTGGAAATAGCCCTCTTCAAAATCATTTGCTACTTTAAAGATTAAATCCAACTGTGACTTTTATTCCATTTCGGTTAAGAATTAGGAGCTCCCTGTGAGGGAATAGCCGAGCAGCAGGAAGAGGGATAGTCCTGGGTAGGACAGTTAGAGGCCAAATTACAGATTTCTTCCTCACTCCCTGCTGTCTTAGCAGTGTTTTACTGCCTGTTGGGAGCATTCCCTAGCCCAGACCTTGTTTCCTTACAGCATATTATCAGCATTATGCTAGTTTTGCCTCCTCCTTACTTAGGTTTTTTTTTTTTTACTTTTAAAACTAGGTTTTCCTTAAACAGTAATATCTTTAAACACAGTTTTGTTTGTTATTTTTGTGCACATACTTTAAATGACAAATGCATTAGGCTGTGTGTTCATACACCATTTCATGCCATTCTGTATACATTAATATATGCCTTGTACTCCAAGAAATGCTGTAAGTTGGTTTTGATGAAGAATGAGGATAGAGTAGAGTTTTGAGGTGATATTTGCAAAGCTAAAAGAATCTCAGGCATACATGTGTAGCGCCCTTTAGCATTTCTGTCTTTCTTTTCCTTTGTTTGCGCATTTGTCTCTGCTTTGGTTGGTGCTGCTCATATACACTGAATGTCTGTGAGACAGAAAAGAGAAAATGAAATTCTAGTCCCATAGTGGTCATGGTTGACTAATTTTATTGTTGAAACACAAACTAGGACTCATCTGGGGTCCGTGGCCCTGCACTCGGGAGAATTTGTGCCCTGAGGGGAAATGTCTGCGTGTACATATGTGCACTTCTGGTTCTTTTGTGCCTTTAGATTCTCCAAGAAAGGCTTAACTCTTTTAAGTGAAGACATTGAAGTCCAGTGTCACACACAGCTAGGAGCCGGGCTCACCAGCTCAGCCTGGACATCAGTCGAATGCTTAAGATGCCCACATGCTAAAGTGAGCCACATATGCTATTGGTAGACTTTCAGGATCACTAAGAAGTTAGAGACTATTCAAAAGCCTGTGGAGTTGCAGGCAATTCGCTAAGGGTTACCTGAGTAGAAATTATGAGCACAGGCCTTGGTCTTTGGCTCCAAGATGAATTATAGCAATATAATTGTTCAAAATGCTGGGAAGCATCAGTGAGTGGCTGAACAGACAAAGAGAAATACCTGCCCTGGGTTCTCACTGGACTCTGCTGTTTGGATCTAAGGCTGGTTGATTGCGGACCATCATTCCCCAGGGTAAAGCTCTCTGCTGACTTCCCTTTTCAGTGTACATCCACATTCTCACCCAGAGAATCACCTTTGATATCCTAACAAGGACTCTTAACAAGCTCCACTCTGCTGTAATGCTTCTGTGTTGATGATGCCTTTATTTGCTATTTTTCTTGTTAATTTGTTATCTGTTTTGTCAGTGTAACATAATATTACTGAAAGGTTCTCATGACTTAATAACTGTTTGTCACAGGTCCCAGGATAGATGCCTAGCCCAGGATAGATATTTGATGAGTATTTATTAAACAAGGGAATATAAAATGTGACTGGGGCCTGGAACAGTTAGGGTCCCTGCTCTTAGCACAGTTCAGTTTTCTGTGGCTATCTGGGCTTCCTTTCCTCCCAGTTGGCATCCATAGTCTACACTGGGATAGGAAGAGCTTGGTGTCTTTTTGGAAAGTAGGTTGGGGGGAAATCTCAAAAGCCTAGCCTGGTCTTTTACTCAGGATCTTTACACCTTGGCCTCCTGAATCCAGAAATAACATGCCTGGGCCTTACCACCAAGCTGCACTCACGATGTGGCTCTGGCCTCAGTCTCAGCCTTTTCAAGATGCTTCTTAAACAGAATTTTTGGCATTTGAGAATTCTTTTTAAGCTAGCTGATTATGTGATTTTGGGAAAAAACAGAAATGGGTAGGGCTTGGAAATGAATCATGAGTAGATAGTTCACTTCAGAAAGTTAAAAGTAAAAGCCCTATTTACAATATAGACAATGTGAAAACATAAGACTCCAAGCTGGGCAGCCTGCTCATGTCTTGTCTCTGCTACTTACTAGTTCTGAGATATCTCAACTGTCTGCTTGACAAGGAAGCCTAGGGACTCTGGGATAATCTTTAGAACCCATGTTTCTCTGGTGTATGCCTAACAAATAAAGTCTCTTGATGACTCCAACCTTGAGTGACCTGGTTAACTGGCCCTTGTGATCTACATGAAAAAGTGAGGGATGGGTCCAATATAGTAAATCCCTAACTAAGTGGAATGAGCATGAAGAAATGTAAGACTAAAAAGACAGCAAAAACAATTTAAAATTCTACAGAGTCTCAACTAAGTGAAATTAGAAGCTATTAAAAGATACTCTTGTGGTTAGTTAGCTACTGTTTCATGATTAACTTACCTCAGGAGTCATGAACCAGGACTCTTTAACTAACTCCTGCTGTCTTCATATTTGGAACTCTTAACTTGTGGCAGCTGTCCTGATGAGAATTTGTATGTTTATTTCTCAGTTCCTAAACCCTCGGAAATAACACTGAACTGTTGACAAGAAGAGGCTTTATATGCTCTGCTTCTGGAATCTAACTTTAACTATCTCCTCACCTCCATTAATTCACAAGAGGAGGCCATGCTGCTTATATAAGCCTCAGTGTCTTTGAAGGGTGGTGGGTTCCTTTCTAGAGTGATAAGGCTGTACAGAAAATTAGCATAATTTTCAAGGTGGGTGTTATTAACTTGTGGGGATCTGACTTCTGTGGACATCAGAAGTAGAGACAGAACAGCAACAAGAGCCCAGGCAGTGTGGACCATGCCTGACAGGCTGTACCATAGACTAGGGTTAGGAGAGTATACAGCTTGGCCTCCTCTCACATTATCAAGATCTCTAGGATGGAAAGGCAACTGGGAAGATGGCCAACTCTGTCCTAACTTCCTGTTAGAAGGGAGGGGCTCCAGTGGCTATTAACTGACGTTCTTGGTTGTAAGGACCAAGGCAAGAGCTTTAATTTTGGCAGTCCATAAGTCCTAGGATTTTGTTATGGGAAGAGAAAAGAGGCAATAAACCATTATTACACAGAGTAGTTTTTCTTTTTCTTTTATTTATTTTTTTTTCTGGTATCCTTGTTACAGCTCTCACACCAAGTTTTGGTTCAGAATCCATAGAAATGCCATTTGTTAGCAGTTGTCTTCTACTTGGCACCTTGGTTTTGTAAATCAAAAATTTTAAGTTATTTTTGAGAATAAATCAGTAGTTAAGAAAGAAAGCAAAATGTTCCATTTCCTACAAACAGCTGCAGCAATGTGCCAGATTGTCCTAACTGGTGTTAATTAATTGAACAGATTTTAGAATGTGTTGTCTTTCATTACATCCATCAATGGTCCTATGCTTTCCTCTCACAGAAAAGGAAATTTTCTTTGAGAGAGATCTGGTCACTTTTACTACTGTCTAATTACATTTGTTAAATGTTCTGAGAAACACAGGTGTCTGAGGCTGCTTGGATACAGAGATTCAGATGCCAAACTGTAGAGTTGATGATTTCAGTGTCGTGTACGCTCATTGTTGTTGTCATTGTACCTGCAAGGTCCTCCAGGTCCCTGCACTGCAGCCTCCTGCTGGGGCATCACAGGTGCCCATGGTGCTGCTGCTGTCCTATCTCAATTGGACAAGGTCAAAGAGCCAGCTTCATTGTGACCAGCCCTGATGGATCAGACAAGAGCTGGAGCGGGTAGCTTTAAAGGATACAAGTGTTGGGGCTTCACAGTCAGACTGTAGACTCAGATCTGTTCTTATTCATAATTTGTGGTATGTATTATGAAGTGACAGTGGAGGCTGTCTTAATTCTCTGGGGTCACCCGGCAGTATTCTCTCCCTCTCCAAGAAAGACTACCACCTGCCATATAAATTCCTTCTGGGCTTAGGACAAGGTCTGGTTATAGCCAGGAGCCAGAGTAGAAGAGCACAAAGCCTCCTCACACATAGTGTCTGGATATTGCTGTGCAGAAACACTCAGAAAAATAAATCTTTTGGTGGGGGAAAACTGGTGGAGAAATCTCAGATGTGATTGGCACATGTCAGAATTGGAACATTATGACTTCAGCTGACTTTTCTGTAGAGATTTTATGCTGTGTGACTCAACAGTGGATACATTCAACCCCTCCCGGCTTTCAGACAGCTAAAGAATTTGATCTAGAAGATGCATGGGATTGACTTAGTTCTGAACCCAGATTTCCCTCTACCTCAACAGTACCTAGAATTGCTAGCCAGATGCTGGCAAGGTAGTGGTCTGTTTGCAGGGGGAGTTTGTGTAGTGTCCGACACAAACTATACATGCTGCGTTTCTACCTACTGCAGTAATAGTTTATGGTACATTTAAGCTGAAAAGTTTAGGTTAATGGTGATTCGGTTTCACTTCTGATGTCCCTGTGCATTAAGAAGAGAATATAAGGGGGAGAAAACGCAAAACAAAGAAACAGAACCTTTGATTTTTCAGATGAAAACAGAGCCTTTTATGGGTTACAGTATAGCCTCTGTTCTTGCTGTTATTGCATGAAATCAATACTCCCTAGGGAGGTTGGGAAACAGGAAGAATGGAAATATCTCTCTTTAGTGGATTTGAGGATATGGGAATATCTTGCTTGAAAATAATGGTTGTAAGACTGGTGAGAGATGATGTCCCACTAATTAAGAGTACTTGCTGCTCTTACAGGGGACCTGAGTTTAGTTCCTAGTCCCACATTGGGGGCTGACAACCTCTAGCTCCAGTGCTTTAATTTGTTTATATTGTCAGGATGAAAACCAGAACCAAAAACAACTTTTTGACTTACATGTCTTGATCACAGTCATCATCAAAGAAAGTCAGGACAGGAGGGTATGGCAAGAATCTGGAGGGCAGGAGCTGATGCTGAGGCCATGGAGAGCAGCTTCCTGGGTAGCTCCTCATGACTTAGTCATCTTGCCTTTTTATATTGCCCAGTACTACCAGCCTGCTGGACCTTCCTATGGCAGAATTTTCCCAACGAAGGTTTCCTTCTCCCAGATGACTTCAGCTTATATCAAACTGACAAGAAACTAAACAGCATACAGCAGCATACACGAGATTGTTGCTTCTAAACTCAGAGGATACTTGTAATCATGTGTTTCCCATAAGCTCATAAGCGCTCTCTTCTCTCTCTCTCTCTCTCTCTCTCTCTCTCTCTCTATATATATATATATATATATATATATATATATCTCACACACACACACACTGAAAAATGAAAACAAGTCATTATTTAAAAGACTGTACTGACGTATTCATCTTGATTGCAGGATAATATGCGGTGGACTTTGGAGATGAGCGGGCATGGCTTAGATGGAGCCCTCTAATGCTCTGCACACCCAAGGAAGAGCTCTGTGACTGTGGGTTCTTACCACACAACACTTAGGGAGGAGTAGGCATGGTCCTTTCTGGTCCTTTACATACAGGAAAATAGAGATAAAGAGTGGGGCAAGTTCGTACCTGCTCCCCATGTCTTACAAATCCCTTGTCCCTCGTGAATCAGGACTTGAATGTTGCCCTTTGTCTTTCATCTTTTATCTTGTTCTCTTTATTCTAAAGTTTTATCACAGGGAAATAGAGAGTAGTGAGTTAATTGATGGTAGATATTGACTAATACTACTAAAAGAAGATTAGGTTACAGTCTTACTAGGTCACCAGGAAGAAAAAAAATACAAGCACTTTGAAGACCTAGATTCTGTAGAATTCTGTGACTTAAAATTTAGAACTTCATATATTCCTGAAATACATGATTCTTGAAAGTAGAATTCTTGTTTTTTTAGTAACACTTTCCTTATAAGTATTGAATCTTGAAATTTTGATGTTTTAAAGATGGTTTATAATGCTATTTCTTTGTAGTTCATGTACATTTAGAGATCATAGCTTTTAAAAAACTCATTTTTTAAAGTTTATGATGTATTGTACCTGTAGCATATTGTTCAGGGATAACACTGCAGTACCTAACTAACAGTAGCTGTTTGCCACCCACAGATGATGAAGATGGCATGGACTGCATGGACAATGAGCGGCGGCCACACTTCCCTCAGTTTTCCTACTCTGCAAGTGGACGAGAATAAGTCTCTTTCATTCTGTTTCTCCACTGTCATCTTAGACTTTGTCACAGAGAATGATTCCTGGACATCTCCACCAGTCCTCGCTCTTACAGATAGCAGGGGCACTCTGACCTCCCTGACCAGCCAAGGGTCTTCACCCTCGCCACCTTTCACCCACATGAAGACATACACAGACACTCCAGTTTTTGTTTCTGCATGAAATTGTATCTCAGTCTAAGGTCTCATGCTGTTGCTGCTACTGTCTTACTATTATAGCAATTTTCTGAAGTAATTTTACAATCTTTGGGAGTCATGAGCCCATTGTTCATTTGTGCATCAATTGTCATCTTTCAGTTTTTGTTTTTCCCTAGCAGTGAAGGCTAAATGAGATACACAGATTCTAGGTACATTTTTAACTTTCTAGAAGATACATCAAGAACTAATTAGACTAAGAAGATTTAGTTTATATTTCTGAACAAGCAATTGTTGAAGGGTGGTGGTGTGTGTATGTAAGCGTTTAGCACGCATGTCTGATCAGTGCATAAATTGCGTACTGCTGATATTTGGCTGAAAATCCTTAGGAAGCATGGAGAGGACTGAAGGGCTGATGAGATACACGATTTTAATTCTTGCTGGATATTGTGGAGGAAGCCCAGTGTCATCATGGACGCTCAGACTTCATGGGCAAATGGGTACCAAGCATTGCAGGCGCAGTCACCTAGAGGGTCTTAGGATCTACGTTGTACCAGAGAGTATTTTCCCCCTGGGCTTGGCAACCTTTTTCCCTTCTTGATATTTATCACTTCTGATGGCTGAAGAATGTAGACAGTATAATGATCCTGCTGTCGCCAAAATCTATACACCAAGGTGAACAGGTGTTTGCCTTATCAGTTTTAAAGTTTTACTTTCAGTTATAGGTGAATTAGCTTTTCCTCAGATGTTAAAACTTTGAATGTCCTTTTATGATTTTGTTTATATTACAGTAGTATTTATTTTTTAGTGATAAGAATTGTATTGTCATGTTAGCAAACGCAGCTCCAACTCACAGGACATTGACTGTGGTTTCTTTTGAACCGTGCAAGGAATGTACACACCCATTAGAATCATGCACTTTTTCTCCTTTGTACAAAAAATTGGTAAGGCTCTGGAATTATATTTGTTGGTTAGAATCTGGCTATGGGAGAAGAGATGCTGTAATTTAACCCCTTGGTGCCGAAATGAGAAAATCTCCAACTACCCACTGCCAAGGGGTTGGTGGAGCAAATGGATGTTAATGATTGCTCACTTGAGTGGATGTGGGAGTATGGCCTGGCATAAGGTAATGGAGAAAGCTGAGACCCAAATGATGATAAGAAATGAACTTTACTTGGCAAAATGAACACATCACAAATATTTACACGGTAGGTAGCAATGGATAAGAAGCTGGTGTGTTTATTCTTATCAAGGTACATTCATTACTGAATCAAGCCATCAGGGAAAACAACAAAACAAAACACCTCTAGCTTTTCTTTTTCTGTACATACTCATGTCTCCCAATCCCAAACATTTCTCACTGAGAGGGGACATGTATGCAAACCTCATCTTTCTCCTTCATTAATGATGATCTTCAGATTAAACCCTTTGGTGCTAGGAGCTGACATTTTTCCAAAGCAGACTATGGAGTGCAAGGATCAAAGCCTATCTTGCAGCAAGCAGGAGGGCATCTGCTCCAGGAGTGTTCATGGAGATGTATTCTAGTTATTGACAGCTCCCAAATGGAAGACTACAGCGTGACATAGTAGTGTTACTGCATTGTCTTTTTGAGTAGGAAGTCATGTTCTCATGCACATGTCTTAGCCTCAGCCTCTAGGCTCAGACTTGGGGAAGCAGAGCCGCTGCTGGCAGTGGCTAGCCGCTGGGACTGCTGGGTGTAAAGGGCATTTACTTAGGCAGCTAAGATGGATTCAGACATAGATTTTGTCCCAATTTTTCATGTTTCTACCTGAGTGAGTTTATCCTTAGTATGGAGTAGGAAGTTAAACAGATGTTCATTCTTACATCTGTAGTCTTTTTTCCTACTTAGAATTATGTTGAATGTTTCACATTGGCAGGAAAGTAGATTAGATGGTATGTCCTTTAAGTTATCTTGCATCCGTTCTGCAAGAAAGAAATGTGAGAGGGATGAAAGCAAGCTGAGCCTGGGTGATGTTCAGAGCACTTACCCTTCAGAGGGAGCAGACACTGTACACTAAGCACACAGCTTCTTTTGTTCTGTCTCTCCTCCCAAGTCTTAAGGTGACTTCATGACCTTGGCCAAGGGTACTTTCTAAAGATTAATGAGGGGGCACTAACAGTGCCTCAGGCTGGCCATTCCTCACACCTGGCCTTTGGTCCCCAGCCATTCAAGGTCTTTCTCTTCCCATCCCAGGCTCCCTGAGTGTCACAGCAGGCGTGTTCTTGGCTTTGATTTCAAGAATTTTTTCCTTGCAACCCCAGATGTCAGTTAAATGGCAGAAGTAGAACAGAAAAGAGAGGTGTGTGGAGGAGATTCCTATATCTAAGCTTACGATTCAGGCAATTGAAATGGCTTGGAACCCAGAATCATTATGTCTGAATGCAGTTCTGGCTTTGTGATTCCACCTCCTACCAACCCCAGCTTAACCTCTTGTCATCACGCAGGGCTGTCTTGAAGGAAACTGGCCACTTCTGCTCAGATTGCTGGCAGGGTTGCTCACAGTTTTGCTTTCTATGCTGACAACATAGCATTACTCCAGTATTGTTTCCATTTCCCACGCCTGACTCTTCTCACGGGCCACATGCTTCTCCATCCCTCACTAACTGCAGGGTCTCTGCCACACCTCAGTGTACACACTTTGCTGCTACTGTCTGTACTGTCTACACCCCAGTTCCCTTAGCTTGCTCCTGGTAGTGCATTACAGGCAAGCATGAAATGTAAAGTATTTATTTAAATAAAAAGAAAACCTCTGAATTGGTCATTGAGTCACCTCCCTGTAGATTTGTAGTTTGTGACATTTTGACTTTCTAGTTCTGCTAGATACATGCAAGATGTGGTCATCTGATTAAGGGTTTGGAGCAGGCACAGCTACCTAGATGCTGTATCATTGTCACTGCTGGTCACACTACAGACGTTCGTTTTCTTACATATATGACCCATAGGGTATGAAATTACTACAAAAAACTGGCTTTGTACACTGTACACTCTTAGTATCTCACAGGCATCTTTTAGGGACATACATTACTTCCTTCATACAGACAGATTAAATAAAGCCCTATGTCAATCTGCTACTTCTCTCTTTGTTGTTGTTGGATATGGCTCTGTAATTTCAGAAAATTAAATTTTGTTCTTTCTGAAAAAAAAAAAGTTTATAGCCCCAGCCGGTATTAACCAACCCTGTATGAAGGTGTGACAGGAAAATAGGTAAATTCATCTTAGAGTGAAACCACATACGGGGTTATTTTTATGAAAGCAAAATGCCAATAGCATGCTCTTACAAACTGATGAAGGGCTAGAAGAGGAGTCCCTGACGACAGCACTAGGTTTCAAGACACATCTACTAGGATGCCAGAGACAGAATATGTTGCAGACCAATCTCAAAGGTCTTAATAAGAAACGGTGTGGACCCAGACTTCTCAAGGAATGTAGCTTATCACTAATGTCTTCCTGATAACACTGCTCAAGACACTTCCTTTGCAAGTGTATCATCTTTAACCCTTATGGCAGTTTGTAACTTAGACATGAGTAACCGATGGCCAGCATGTCTCAATTACATTGAATAATTTTGGATGGGGCGTGTTTCTGATTTTACCTCATAAGCTATAATCGTAGAACTTGGCTTTGTTCTTTGTCCAACAGAGAGAGGCATGACTTTTGAGACCAGTTTGTCAGACATGCATGTGTATTTCTCACAGCGAAATTTGGGGACATTTTTACATGTGCTGTCCTCAAAATCAACTGGGGTTGACAGATCCAGGAGGCTGAAATAAAGTGACCTCTATAACTCTCTAAAGGTGCTATTTTTAGAATATTGTATAATTTATTCATGGTATACATAAAATAGAAGTGAGGACAGTTAAAATATATGACAGTTTTATGTCTAGCATATTTGATGCAACCAGAAACTTAGACTCAGAAGTTGTGTTTGAGGCTTGCACCTTTGACATGCCCCAGAGACGAGGATGGCCCATGTACTGTCATGCCACCACCTCCATGGCCTAAGCTGCATGACTGTGAGGGCGGGCTGAGCATGTGGGAGCCAGGCCTCTGCTGACGGGCTGCTGGCTGGGGAAGGAGGAAGCTGGGCTTGTCCCACATGCAGCCTTCTTTGCCCTAGTGTTTCACCCCACCCTCAAACACCACGACCGTCTCAGCATCCTGCTTTCTTTGTTCTGTTTTGTTTCCGTGGTGCTGGGAAAGGAACCCAGGGCCTCATATGTTGGGCAAATGTTCTACCACTGAGCTACCCCTGACCTTCCAGTGTCCATTTGTATTCTTTTAAAGCATTTGAGGGCTTGACTGTATAGTAGAAATACTATTTTAGACTAAAAATATGATCTGTGTACAGATATTTGATATACTGTTAAGTAAATTTTCTAATTTCACATACATTTGTTTTTAGGCTCCTCTCAAATACTGCTATTGAAGACTAAAATCTGACACCATCGAGCCAAAGATGCCTTTTTTGGGGGAGGGGGGGCTGTTTTGTGTTGTTCAGAGAATGGAAAAGAATAATGCAGAGTGCTTCCTGAGCGCAGACAGGTATACATAGTCTTCATATCACTAAAGGGAAGAACAGTGGATGGCAGCAGGAGAGGTGGTCTTCAGTACACTTTGGCTAACTTAAAACATGTGCCTTTGGTGTGTTATTTGTCACTGCTACAAAATGAAAAGGAAACTGAACAGTTCACGTCTTAAGAGAGGTCATTTTTATTAATCCCGTGCATACTCTAGAGACAACATAAATCAGTGACTTGAAGCTGTTTTGAGCACACTCCAACTAGCCCGAGCCAGTTCATGCTGAAGCACTCCCTGTCTGTAGCACAGGGACAGACCATGGCATGATGACCAGCCCCCCTGCAGTCCCAGGTGGTGTCTCCCTGGGGAGGTTTCGGTGCACTGTGGCACATTAAGTACAAATCAGATGAATGTAAATATCTCTTTGTAAATCATTTATTTCACTCTGTTTCATCCAGGTCAGCAATCAGACTGTGGCATGCTGGGTAACTGGAAAAAAAATGATAATAAAAAGTAAGTTTAAATAGATCATGGGTATTGTTTTCTCATTTGCTAGTTTGATCAGCTGTTATTACTGAAGTTTTGAAGAAAAGGTTTCTGTTGCTAAATATGTGGAAATGTATGTAGCCAACTGTATTGAAAGTTTGTGCCTCCTTGCCACCAGAGGCCAAAGAAAGTCTGTTTTGTGTTGTAGCAGGTTATGTACCTCCAATGCTTTCCTTCTGAAAGCAGCCTTTACTCTAGACCTGCATATACCTCTAAGAATGGTTTATATTATGACTGTGGGCCCAACTATTTGTTAGAAAGCAGATCTGAAATTATATTGGGCTTTAAAGTAGGGGGAAAATTAGGATGTCAGCCAAAGTCTATATGGACTAATAAAAAAGAGCCTCTGTTACCTGTAGCTTCTTGTAACATATATAGATGCATTTTACATATTGACACTCCACCCACATTGTGGAAGGTGGGACCCATGATACTGAGGTCTCATTTCTAAGATTTTGCACTTACTTATTTGTATGTGGAGAACCGAGGGTTGGGAAAGTGCTGAATACTATTACCCAATGACTACACTGACTTTGTACACAAGTTCATACCACACTTAGGTATATCAGATGCCTCCCTAGTTGTGCAGTGCCTTCAGTGGAAGATGACCAGCTACAGTGCTGTGTGAGTTTGAGGCGAGCTGTCTGTGGTTTCCACTGGGCCAGGATGATGGAGCAGAGCCAGGGCCCACCCAGCTTCAGTGACTAAAGCTAGAATCCAAAGGAGGACTCTAACGCCAGGTGGAAGCCATGAAAACATGCTGGGGATTTCTAAGCTGGAAGTCCGAGTAAGACATTGGAAATAACTCTTTTCTCCTTGTTCCTTTCTTTTCCTCCCTCCCTCCCTGGGAAAGGTCATGTGTGCATTTCAGGTAGATGTTACAATGTGAATGGCATGGTAGTGAGTTTTAATTAACTGTTATGTGAACAGAATGGTTTCCACAGGGAATGCAGGTCGGGCTGCCACAAAAGGCAAGGTCAGTGCAAGCAGCATGAAGTTAGAGATGAGGAGCTTATCCGAGCTTGTGGGAGCTCTGTTCTCAGACTCCTCCACAGGGGGTCTTGGGATATCTGTCCATAACCAAAGCCTGCCACCAACTGTAATCAGCAGACAGAGGTCTCCATTAGAGCTGACACCAGCCCTCACTGAGCAAGCAGACACTGGTTCTGAGAATGACTTGCTGGGATGCCCTCCCCAGTGCTCTGAGAATAGCTAGACAGGACAAGCTGCCTGGTATACTGGGTCCCTAGACACTAGAGCTTCTAACCCAAGAAAGTGGGTGACTGAACCAGGACCAGCACGAACCATGATGGGCACATTTCAGAAGACAGAAAATCCCTGCTGGAGTGCAGACGGTGGCATAGACTCCTGTGGCCCAGCGGAGCTTGCAGCAGGGTCTTTTATTAGTCCAGTTCCAGAAAATGCATTTCTCAGTCCTTTGAGTGCCTGTGGCTCCAAGGTCATCTACTGATGTGTCATCAGTGGGCTCCCTGTTGACTCTTGTGAGTGGGGACAACCTCCTGTGATGACGCAGTATGAAGCAAAACAGGAGCATATGAAGTCACCTGCTCCTGGAGCAAAGGGACTGTCCCTCCCCTGTCAGGCTCTGTTTGGGTATACACTCTGCATCCTTACTGCTGCTGAAGCATCATCTTTAAGCCTTGTACTCTGGCACAAGGTAAGTATTGGCCTGAGTGTATCGCTGCCACACTGTCTCCTAGAGTGACATTTTTCAGTGCTGCCTGAATTTTGCACAGTTACCCAGACACACAAAAAATGTGAGTTACAATCTCTGTCTGACACATCTGCAATCACTTGTCAGGGGTGTTACCTATGTGAATCTCTGTCCTCAGCACCACAGCCTCTGTAGCCTCAGTCCAAAAGAGATGATGTGTGTCTAAGGAATGTTTGTAGTTTGGAACTGCAACATGAGCCTTTGACAGCCATCTCCCCCTGCTGCCACCTCACCTGCCCCCCCCCATTACATCACACCTTCCTTGGGCCATATTCTCCCATCTGCCTGGGAGGATATGAGATGATTCCCTGGTGGCCCCATGATTCCACTGTGATGTTGACAGTGACTCTGTGAACTTGAGTAGCACCTGGACTGGGCTCCAAATGGGACCTACCCTGTGCTTGAGGTACAGAGCTAAGATCTGAACCCAAGCGTGTGGCCTTGCTCTGCAGAAGCCAGAGCAAGGAGAAGGCACAGAGGATGAAGAGGCTGACCCTCTGTGGACAAGGTAGAACTCCCATGTGATGGAGGCAGCTCTGTGTGGGCCAGGGATGCCTGTACCCTTGTAGGAGGGTTTGCAGGGCGTCTTCTAAGAACCATCCATCCCAACTACCCCAGGGCCAAAGTGTCTGTTTCTCACTCCTAAGTTCTTGCTCTGCACGGGGGCAAGTGTCTGTTTCATGTGAACCTTACTTCCATGGGAAATAAATTTTAGAATTCCCAAAGGACACACAGTGTCACCAACAGCAGGGAGTGGAGCCTCTGCTTGCATCGTGTTTGAAAGCGTTAAAAAGGAAGACAACATTGACATTTGGGGTTGCAATGTGACGGAATTACAGTCTTTTAAAGGCAAGAACCACTTATCTCCACTGCATGTAATATTCAGTGTTTTGTTCACTTGTCTAATTGGATTAAAATATTTAGCTCCCTTTAAAAACTTGATTGTGAATTTATATTGCTACATGTAATGTCTAACTCAGAAAGCAATAGAGGAGCAAATACATCAGTAGCAATATAAATTTCAGCATTTTTCATCCACTGTTCTTATTCTGGACCTACACTTTCCTGGACAAAATGAGTTGTTACAGCAGGCCTGCCTTAGAGCCTAGTGTGCTTTTCAGTATTACTGAAACATGCGGTGCCTAGATGAACAGCTAAGCAAAGTGCATGCTGTTTCAGCTGCTGGGGCCGTTGCTGTGAGGGTTGCAACCCCTTCTGTTAGAAATGCAGCCCAGGGTCTTATGTCATTCTCTAAAAACACCCAGCAGCAGGGAGTTAGTGACATCTTAGCTGCATATGTTCAAGTTGATTTAAAAAAATATGCAAGTCACTTTGGTTGACAGTGTCTTGTACACAGTTTTGAAAGAATCAGGGCAAACTTTAACAGAGTCAGTTTTTATTTGAAAAATATTTTCTGGGAATGTATCAGTGTTTATTTTTGAGACTGACAATTCGGGTGAAAATCAGGATAAAAACAAAAAAACAACAATTTGGTTGAAATCAAATTGTTTGTTTTCATCTATTTAGAATTCTTTCCAAAAAATTCTGGTTTAGGAGGAGGCTTTGTAATTTATTTTATTTGGTGTATTTTCTGTTCTATTCATAAGACACCATCTGTCTTACAGGTAGTTAACTGTGTGTGGGCCCTGGAAGTCAGCGAGGCAAAGTCCCCTGTGCTCTAGGAAGGACAAATTAAGAGTAACCACCTCTAGATCCCCACTCTGGCTACCAGCTCCCTACGAGCCCGTGAGTCTGGGCCATCCTCACTTGAGCTCTATCCTGTGTCTGCTAGTTACAGGCAGGCCTCTCCTCCCCTGGAATCTGCCTCTCATGCCTGTTTTCAAGTCTATTCAATGAGTCCTCTGATGTAATGAGATAATGTCAATGATCTTGAATATAATCACATATGGCTGCTGGATCCGTGCACAACTTTAAATCAAATTAGAAAGTAAATTCGCTGCCAAGAATGCTTAAAAGTCATAGGGCCAACTGATTAACCACTGACACGGCAGCTTCAGACGTTTTCTAAACTGTGAGTGATTCATAAGAAGGGACTCAAGGGGAATCCCCCCAGACTGAATGCTGAGGGCTGAACAGGCAGCCTGCTCAGGGTGCCAGCTATTGGTGGATGCCAGGCAGCGGAAACCAGTCATTACCCAGTAACTCACAAACTCATCTTGATGGGAGGACAGACCATTTGTGCTTTCTTCTCTCTCTCCCTGACCCAAGAGCAGCCTCTGATTTCCTCACCAGCTGGCTCCACCCTTCCTGGACAGATGTTAAGAGTCTCTGGGCTTGGACTGCTGACCCCTGACCCTGCTCCAAGCTGTCAAACCTTGCCTAGTATTCCTGGGATTAATGACCCTCACCCATAAGCTACCTCCACACTACTACTATGGCAGTTCTGGCCTAGGAGAGAGAATGGGTGGCTGGGACGCCCTCACATCAGAGTCAGGCTGAGAAGACTCCAGCACCACCAGGATAAGGTCAGGAGAGTTTGGCCATGCCCAAATAGAGGCCACTTTTAAAAAGCTCGTCCTAATGTGTGTCAGGAGCCACCATTTCAATCATTCCGGAGTGAGGAACACTATAGACCAGCTGTGTTCTCAACAGTGACTTTCCTGCCACCCAGCATCTATGTAAACTCTGCAGCCGGAAGTGGCATTGGCACATGGTCACAACCAGGACTGGTTTACTCCATGGGCATGAGGCTGTGTGTGGCTCAAAATCTAAACAGAAGCCATTTAGAATAATCAAGGCTTAGAAACAAGGCATTTCCTGTTGGAGCCCACCATTCTTCCTCTGAACAGGCCAGGACTTAGGACATAGAGCCAATGTGAAGGACGTCACTATCCTCCCAAGTGGTTGTATGTTAGAAAATGCTCGTTCTCTTTTGGGTGCTGTGCAGACAGAGATTTTCCAGAGTTTGACATGCAAAGTTAAGCTAAATTCATCCAGGCTGAGAAAATGGAAGCCTTAGCCCTCACCATTGCTACACTGGACACAAAGGCCATTGTAAACTGCTCCTCCAGATCCATCAGGAGCCATGTTCCCCTACCAGTTACAGAGGCAGTCAAACTTTGGCCTTCTTACTTCAAGGGTTCCTTTGAAAACTTACTTTAAAATTCATGTTTATTTCTAGACAAAAATGCATCACAAAGACCACTGAGTGCCAACACAGAGACCAAGGCAACACTTGTGCCAAAAAGGTAGGCTGGGTTTAGAGGCTGAGCGCAGAGCTTGTAAA